CCGCCGCGCCCCGCCGCGCCCCCGCCGCGTCCCGCCGCACCTCGCCGCGCCCCGTCCCGGCCGTGACTCAGCCCGCGAGGTCGCCTCGCCGCGGGGCCCGAGAGCTGAACGCCCGTCCCGTCTCGCCCGCCCCGCCCGCCGCCGGTCTGTGATGCGCCTGTGACACCTCGCGGTCCTGGACTGGACGACATCCTCATCGGGGAGGAGGGGGGGGGGGGCTCTCCCCCGCCCTCGCCCCACTCTTCAGCGCGGGCCTTGTGCGGCTTATCTCTTGCGCCGCCGTCATCGCCGTGGTGATCCGCGCGGCCGGTGCGACAGTGTGGCCGCGGGGCGGCGCGCTTCCTGAGCTCGCGGAGGGCGCGCCCCCCGCCTTGCCCGCCTCCTCCCCGCCGCGGTGCCCTCCTCTGCGCCGCGCCACGCCCCTCCCGGGGCTGCGCGGTTGTGTTTCGCTCCAGTGGCTTTCCCGCGCCCAGACTCTGCGCGGCCCCGCCCGCCCCGCCTCGCCGCCCGCGCCCCGACGTGGCTTCGTTCGACGCGGTGCTCACCGTGGTGCTCACGCTACAGCAGCAGCAGCAGCAGTACACAGCGCGGCTACAGCAGGCAGAGCGACCTGCTGTGCATTTGTAACGAGTACAGTCGCGCTGCAAAGTGTTTGTTTGTTGGCTGTGCATACTAGTACACGGTGTGCGGGCATATTTGCAGTTATGCCATCTGTGTGTGTGTGTGTGAGTACGTGAGTCCTCCGGTCCCGGTGATTATCTCTGCCGCCGCTAGAGCTCCTCCTCGCCGCCACGCTACGCCACGCCACGCGGCACACACTTCAGAGGCACCTGTCGGTATACATTACGCACCCGGCTCAGGTAAACGCGCGCGCAGCTATTTGCTCGCCTTTTTATTTTTTATCTTTTGTTTCTCTTTTTAGAAAAATAATCATTTTGTTTTCGTCGTCGTCGTCGTGGTTCTCGCCGGTCTTTGTGTGTGATTTTCGGCAGGGTTGGTACCCGGCCGCCCGCGCGCTGCCGTGCCGAGCGAGCCACCGCCGCCGCTCCGTTCCCCATTCCCTCCTTTTTTCCCCGCACAGTTCCGCTCTGTTGGTCACCATGCCGCCGCCACGCCGGTGCCCCCCCCCCCCTTAGCCCGGACCTGGGGGGTGCTGTGCACAGCTCGGTGGGCGGGATGGGAGGACTGTGCAGGTGGAGCAGGGACCGGGCGCGGAACCGGTGAGGGTATTTGAACATTGCTGCCCTACCAAAAGTTGGCTGCACTGCTCTAAACCAACTGCCGCATCGAAGGGCGGGGACGACCAAAATACTAGTCGTCGCACTCCCGCGCTCTGTAAATACTTCCGTCGCAATTTTGTGACCCCCTCTTCCCCTCACCCGTCCGTCCCCCTCCAGGCTCTGCGGCCTGCCATCACACTGCCTCCTGGGGCTCGGCCTTTGGTCTCCGTGTGACTTTGTAGTTAGGATTCCCACACTGGGGGAGGGGGTAGGGGGGGTCAAGCTCCACGTCAATGGTCTCTGTCCGTAGTCCGTGTACTTGCACGCGCCGATGCGGGCGGGAGGCGGGCTTGCCTACACCACCTTCTGCCCCGTAAAGGCGCCATAACCCCTGTGGGTTAACCCGTTCTTCTCACCCGTCGCTCCCGAACCACCTGGTCAACGCGGCGGGCTAGCACCAGCGCTAGTGAGCGAGCCGGGTTTGAGCTTGAGCTGACTGAGCCAATAAGCCAGACTACACGGAGGGGACGGACCCTGTGCTCACCTCTGGCCCAGTGGTCGCGTACCCTGTGGTGCGCTGGGTCGAAGCCGACAGGAAGCAATTATTTTCATTCATACACTTTTCTGGGGGGCTGCATTTTATGAGAGAAAAATAATGGTACCTATGACAGTTTTCCTCAGAATTTGCCCAGCATTTTCACCTCGGCGATTATGACTTACTGGAATATTATAATTAATTTCCCGTCGTAAATATATCGCATAATTTTGTCATGAAATCCTGCGTTGCCTGCTTCATAAATAACTCATAAACTTTGGTTACAATTCTGCCATATCTGCCCGTCTAGATGATGACGACTCTTTTTATTCCTTAAAATGTTTGCGCGAGCGTAGACTCGCCAGCGGCGACGTCATCGTCACGATCATCACGATCAGCTCTCTGTGCGTCCGTAGCCTGGTCCCGCCTGCTAGTAGCTTCGCTGCCGCCGCTGTGTATTTTTTTGTTCCGCCGTTTCGTTTCGTACTCGCGTGAGGATAACAATACAATACCCAGACGGCGCCACCTGCCCCCCCCCCCCCCACCAAATCGCCTATCGCGCGGTGGCTCGGCCCCGCGGCCCGCGCTTTTCGACTCAAACGAGCGGCTCACAAGTTTTTCGTTTGTCATCTGGATGAATCACATGTGCATCACACACAATACGCGCCGCTGCCTTGGCGCGCCACCAAGAGAGGCTATCACCATTCTGCCCCCCCCCCCTCCTTCATTCTGCCCCTATGTCGCTCTATCTCACTTTCTCTCGTGTCGGGATATGTGCGATGACAATTCTGAATGAATGACGCGCTAAGCACTGGGTGGCTTCCGACCGTCGCGCCACACGCGTGTGGGTTACGGGTCAGGGGTCACGCCGCCGGTACGACACGTGATGCATGGCCATTGTGTGGTCACGCTCTGGTTTATGTTAAATCACAGGCAACTCTTCCTGTGTGGACGTGACAAATTTGTTGGTTAAGAGAGAACTAGCTCATTTTTTTTTTTGACGGTATAGGATGTTGTTGTGTGAGAACAAAAACACCGCCAGGCTCTGTGGCGCACGACGGGTCCTGGGCCTGGGCCCCGGTGGGCCGCACGGTGCGGTGCGGTGCGGACACTCGGCCGCCAGCCATAGGCGGACGTCCAACGGACGTCGATAGGATCGCAACGAGCGCGGCATCCGTTCGCCCGCCCGTTTGTCCCGAACCGACCAACGCGTGCGCGCCGCGTCGCGCCGCCCGGCGCCACACCGCGAGCGAGGAGGGGGGCACGAGGAGGTGGCGGTACGTCACCGGTTAGGGGCTGTGCCACGTGATATGTACCCGTGGGTGAGGGGTGAGAATGTCATGGGGTCCTTATGGACTCCAAATAACCGGTCCTGATCCTTTTGGTACCCCGTGTAATATATGGACCTCCCCCCCCCCCCTGAAGTCGCGTGATATGGGCACTGCCCGGCACTGCCCCTCTATCGCGTGGCTCTGGCGGCCGCCCGCTCCACCAGCTCCGCCCCGAGACGCCTGCCGAGTCCGGGCGGGCCGGCCCGCCGTGCGCGCGTGCCTAGCGGGCCTGCCTGCCCGCAGGGGCCGTGCCGCGCCGTGTCGGGCCCGCGGGCCCGCGGGCCTTCCCCTCCCCTCTCCTCCCCGGGACGGGACAGCCGACGCTGCCAACAAGATGGGCAACGTTGTCTGCTTCCTGCCTTCCGACACCTTCCCCCCGCTCTTACCCCCCCCCTACTGACCCCCTTCCCCGTGCAATGTTCGTCACATCAGTGTTCCATTCTGTTGGCAGGTGTGGTCTTCCCCCCTGCGGACCGGAGCGAGTCGACTCGACGGCGAGGCGCGGTCGAGAAGGCGCCGCCCTTTGGGCCGCCGGGCGCGATAACTGAACACGACACGCTGACAACAATCGGGTGACTGCCTGGCAACCGGCAAACACCCAGCAGTGCTCGGCTCAACACAACCACCAGGATGGCGAGGGCCTCGGGCTCCCCGGCCTCCCCGACGACCTCGGCAAGAGGACGCCGTCGGCGCCGCCCGCTCTCCAAAGGTTTAGTTGTGAGTCTTGGCACTGGAAGAATTCACAGATCGATTTGAGTCGTGGAGTCTGCGGTGCCAAAGCCCACGACTACCTTTCTACACGAGAGACTGCAGCTGCTCGACCACGCGCCTTTGGCGACCTCCCTGGCGCCAGCGAGGGACCGGCACCGGGGCGAAGGCCGAGTCGGTAAGCAACATGCAGGGGACGGCCGTGGAGGACCTGGGGAGCGAGCCGTGCGGACCAGAACGCAGCGTAGGAGATCCTTGTCCGTTTCCCTCATGACTCTTACCTGGTTCAAGGAGGCTAGGCTTCGGGCGTCATACGGCAGCACCTCCCCGGTTTGCTGCAGCTGGATGTGGTGAAGTTTCCGCTTTAGTTGGTGTCGGTTCGCTCTTATTCGGTAGTCGTGTAGATGCAGTTGCGGTAAAGCTATGCAGGTGGTGTAGGGCGTGTGTAAATTGGTAGTGTGTGGAATGTAGATTGTGTAGATTCGTGTGTGGTGACGCTGACAAGACACTAATACTATTTGTACGACTACACTAGTGTTTTTAAAGAACAAAAAAGTCATAAAGCGCTATCTCAACACCATATGGGCGCTGGCTACATGGCCTTTCGAACCTACGACTTTGAATTTGACGCCAGTGACAGTGACGTTGGCAGTATTGTGTTCCCTATCTTGTGTGGTAGTGGTAGCACTGGAGCACGGTGTAGTGTAGCTAGCAGAAGATTTTGTTCCCCGATTGAAATGCAATTTGACCTGAATCGTAAAATTAATACCATTTGCGTTGCACTTGAGGCTGAACTTCAATTAAAGTAGATGTTTTTGCTTTCGATGCTCAAAATTTATTGTAATGTACTAGTAGCCACTTCGGATATTTGTCAGACTCGACATTATGTGTGTGAGCATATAGGTTATGTTGACTGTACCCTCTGTGTACCTAGTTTGTCTTGTGCCTCTGCAGGTGTGATGGTGTAAGTCGTGTCAGTGGAAATGCAGCCTCGACGTAGTCATAGCTACAATCAACTTCACACTCGATCTCGTCCTCATGCTACCCCAGTGAGGGAACTGATACGGGAGACATGGCTGCTGACATCAATAGGGATGGTGTTGTACTTTGGAGGAATTTATTTGACAGTATGGAATGAGGTTTGTGTTTTCTTCTTACCTATCTGTCAGATCAATCAATCATGAATAGCATTCGGGATTCTATTCCTTCAATTTATTACAGGGACGAGCAGTTACGACAAGCAAAGCACTTGATACATCATTAGCTTCAGTTGTAGTTTTAAGTCCAAACTCACAACCTTTTCCAGAGAACAGTGGTCGTTTAGTTCATTTAGTGGGAGAGATATCGGTTGGTGAACCTCTGACTGAAATGGATTATGGCGTTGCAGTTCAAGCAGTGAAGCTGAAGCGTCGAGTTCAGATGTTTCAATGGGTTGAGGAAGAATCACTTGTGTAAGGCAAACTTTCATTGTATTGATTTGTGTTTAGCATTTAGAATGAAAATTGATCTTGATTCAATGTGCGTGTCAACAGTGATTTACCTGAGGGTGATGCTATGCGCACTGATATTAATTATTACTACACCACAGAGTGGAGGGACAAACTGATAGATAGTTCTCACTTTGCTCGCCCCATGAATCATCAAAATCCAAGGTACGCAAAACCAGAAGTATGATTTAGTTTTAATATTTCTTTTAACC